CAGTGATAATAAAACAGCAGACGACCACTTAATAATATTTAAGTGTATCTATACTTATAATAAATCTGTAGAGCGGTCAATTCTGATAAGTGATCGATACTGATGCCAAAAATGCAATCAGTAACATTTTTGTCTGTCTGTCTGTCTGTCTGTCTGTATGTTCCTTATAGAAACAAAAACTACTCGACGGATTTTAACAAAACTTGGTACAATTATTTTTATACTCCTGGGCAGGTTATAGTATACTTTTCATCACGTCACAATTAATAGGAGCAGAGCAGTGAAGGGAAATGTTGGGAAAACGGGAGAAATTACGCCATTTTTTAAGCTTTCACCGCATATGCAGCGGTTAAAGTTACATGGAAATCATGTATCACGGGAATATTCAACATAAAATTATCTACAAAATATCCTACAACAGTATATGTCTATCTTTTATGGTTGACCCACAACAACACGTGTAAGTTCTGATAGATTGTCAGGAACTTATAACATGTTTTGTGCGCGCTAAAAATTCTTATCGGTTTTTCAGTTGTTTCAATGTGTTGCTGTAAGATTTTCTCAAAATTCTGTGTTTATTTTATTTCAATCAACTCTGTCTATCTGTCTGCACCTGCTTCACACCTAAACTACTGAACCGATTTGAATAAAATTTTGTACAGGCATAGTTTGAAACTCGGGAATAGGATAAAGGAATAGGTTTTTATCCTGGGTGGAGAATTTCCCTATTCCCGTTCCCAACGAGATCGGGACCTATGTGGGTAAAACCAAAAATCTGCCAGAAATCACTATTTCACGCGGACGAAGTCGCTGGCAGAAGCTAGTACCTAGATACATATTTATGATTTTTATAAATCGAAAAACTAAATAAATAATATACTCGACAATTCGGACTCATCTTTCTCCGCCCTTTAGCAGTATAAGTAGTTTTAAATTCAATAAGATTTAGAATAAATATTATAACAATAACAAAAACCAACAGAGACAGCATAAAATGGGTCCTAATAGGGAGCCAGTCACCATCTAAATAGATTGGATGTAACATGTAAGATGGTAGCTTTCATCATCATCATCATCAGCCCACAAGTGCCCACTGCTGAGCAAAGGCCTCTTCTCACACGGGGAAGGTTTGAGCATTAATCACCACGCTTGCTCAATACGGGCTGGCGATTTCAAACTTATAATTAGAAATTATAAGTCTAGGTTTCCTCACGATGTTTCCCTTCACCGTATGTCAGTGGTGTCTACATAATCATAGCTGGTAGCTTTGATGCTTTTAAATTGTTATGAACCCAGCGTGTGCTTTAAAAACTGCTTGCGTTCGTCCTACAACTAAATGAAATTTTTATAACATTAAACATTTAAGCGTTTAATTATTAACTAGCTGTGACTCGTTTTGTCACCCGCGTATTTTATGTCTACGGGGAATAGTGCAGCCTCTCAACGTAGAAATAAGTTATCAAATCGGTTGTTTAGATTCGGAGCTAATTCGAATTAAAAAAAATCTATTCTTTCCTCTTCTTAATATAATAGGTCGGCAAACGAGCATGCAGATGATGGTAAGCAATCAGCGCCGCCCATGGACACACGCAACAGAGAAGTTACAAGTGCGTTGCCAACTTTCTAGGGATTAGGGATTTGGAGGTTTAGAAATTGGGGAAGGGAAATGATTGGGCACCCGGTAATCTCACTCTCACGGCGAAACACAACTCTGTGGTTGTTTCAAGCTGGTTTTCTGAGAGGCCGTGGTTATCACTCCGGTCGAGCCGACCCATTCGTGCCGAAGCATGGCTCTCCCACGCTTTAAAATATTCACTAAGTATTCATAATTGCTGACGCATATAAGTGGACTTGTCCCTAGTTGTGTGGGTCTTGCGTGTTGAACTTCACGTAGGTAAGCCTAAAGCTGAATGTCTGACGTCTGTGTCAAGTAAGTAACACTAACAGGAAAGTGTCGGGGATCTACCTTTACGGTAGTTTCCAACTAGTCAATTCAATACCTATCCAAATGTCAAAAATTATACTTTTCTCGTATGAAAGTCCAAATTATGACGTCACAGTAATTTTGTGTCAAATGACTTACTTATTTCTTAAAATACAAATATCGAAAATTGAGTGTACCGATAGATCGATAAATAAAACTACCTATAGTTATTTTGCAATATTTTATCGTATTGATTTTTTTATGTTATCGAATTAATTTATTTTTAACTTAAGAAACTATACCGTATGTTTACATATATGGTTCTGAGGAAAATCGTAACAACATTAATTTGGTATTAGCAAACAACTGAAAACTGCAACTCTGCAACCTGAAGGTAGATATGCGTGATAAGACTTCCTGCCTTTACTCCTGTGTTCAGCTACATAAAACTTTTTTGGATAAAAAACGTAACAAGAAGTCGGCTTGCTGAGAATGTTTTTGGTGGTACCTACCTACACTGTATTGTAACTGCCATAAAACTATGATTCAAATGTTTTCCTAGAAACTAAACACAAGATCATCCATGAAGAATAAAGATAACAGTTTAAGATAATTCTTACTTTGACATTGTGTACGTAGAATTATTGTTTACCTAAGTAAACACATGTAATGTAGATAGGTAACCTAACATAATTATAAATCACTAGCTACTCTCGCGCGGTTTCACCTGCTACTCGGCTACATTTTACCGTAGCGTGATGTTTTATAGCCTCTAGCACTCAGGAACATTGTAATCCGACCAGCGGTTTCAAAGATTACCCCCTACATACAAACTTACAAATTTTACCTTTTATAATATTAGTATAGATATAGATATTGTCAAGAAATACAATACGAAAATCGATTGAGGGTGCAAAAACCCGAGGGTATCCGGAGGGCCGAGATACAAAAAACCATCTCTCACATGACATAACATCATCACTGCTGAGCAAAGGCCTCTTCTCACATGGAGAAGATTTGAGCATTAATGACCACGCTTGCTCGATGCGGATTGGTGATTTAAAACCTACAATGAAAAAACTTATATGTATAAGTCCAGGTTTCCTCAAAATATTTTCCTTCACCGTATCACCTTACTAAATAGTCAAAGAAACTACATTTAACTCGGAAAACATTGGTACTTGCTCAGTTTTGGACTCGCACCCTCATGTATATAGCCGGGGCTGCGGGGTAAGCGCAATGAGGTACCGCGACCTCGGCCCAGAGCAGGAGAAGGAACAGGGGGGTTTTTAGTCAGTAAGAGTCTGACACTCCCTCCTGCCCGGCCCTGGGCGGGAGAAGTCATTTGATGATTTTCCCCTCACAAAAAAAAAAAAAACCCTCATGTATATGAAGCGTTAACCTCTGGGCCACCACGAAATTAAAAACCATCTGGCATGCGATATAACGTACTCAGTATTTCGATAAAATTTGTAGTGAGTTGTACTTATGATGGCAATATTATTTTCCAGCGCTGAGCTGAAGGTGTATGGCGATAGCGAAGAGTTTCGGACGTAGCATCAAAAAGACCATGAAACGTCGTGGTCTCCAGTCTCTCATCTGTAAACAGCAGCAAGACCCCAGGCAGCGTCGTGCTTAGCCTTACATCAAGCTCAAAAAGAAGAATCACTTCCAAATTCCTAACTTATGTGAAATACCAACGTGAAATGAAATATATATAATTTATTAGATATACGAGTAGGTACTTACGATAGGTATGTATATTTATCGTAAATTTTTATCACAGTGTTAAACAATTAGTTATACCAAATTTGCAGATTTTCTATCAAGGCGTATGAAATATAGTAAAGTGAAGATAAAAAAGAAAAAAAAACATAAATATATAATAAAATATAATATAAAAAAACAATAATATATCTAAGAAAACTATTTACCCAGTTGAATGTCGACGAAACTAATTCATCGTGTCATTCAATTCTAAACAAACCAATTCCAGGGGAAACCAGGGTCTGGAGTTGGGATCTCCTGCCTGCAAACCCTCTTTTTTAAAACATTTTTGCATTTTAAATAATTGTTGTAGCTCCTCTTTTTTTATATATATTTTTAACGCTTTGTTTACCTACTCTGCCTAGGAAAGGCAAACAAGGGCGGATCCACCGTTGTGGGCACGATGGGCATGCCTACAACCTTAATACACTTGTGATTGAATAGGTTTGGATCGAAACTGACTATTAGAAATTAGAAGAAATCGTGTCAGACTTCTTCCTAAGATTATTTACATTCCTAAGGCTAAAGTCCTGATGCTCAGAAAAAAGGAAATAATCTAATTCATAAGTTCATAAACGATTTGCATGATTGTCAATGAGCTTGTCCTTACTCCACTCGTACTTAGCCGATTTTCTAGTAGCTGTGACCACAACCTTTTTTGAAGTCCGCGCTTGAAGGCAAAGTTCCTAATACCTTAAGTTTACTTGGGATCAACAAAAACTAACACTTTATATCGATTTCCTTACATGGGTGCCACTGGGCGCCACAATATGTTGGTCCGAGGTGTCAGTTGCCCGTAGGACATTGCTTTATGCTGAAGGCAAACTGTAACAAAGATTGTTTGTAATTCAAGACCATAATACAACTGCCTCTTCGATTAGCTCCATTTATAGCATAATTATCTGCAGCTTTTCAAACACATAATTTCAAATGTATGGCAATGAAGTTAAAAATATGTTCGTAATTAGATCCTTATCAATCATGCGGGCAAGGTTTTCACTTAGTAATTAAGATGCGTCTCCATTATCATAATTATGTAGGACAAATTATAACGGAATATGTATATGATTGTCTTGCCAGTGAATGGACGCAAGGACCCGTCCGATTGGGTCAGAGATTCGTTAAAATAAAAATACATTTCATTTCGCATTTTTATTTTATTTCATTATTTACATGAATAACTAACTGGTCAAGTACCTAGTTTTATACTCACTAGATGGCACTACTTACGATTAAGTTCAACAAGGGTTATCATCATCATTCATCATCATAGTAAATTAAAATAAATTTGCGAGAATTTATTAATTATTCAAGAATCAGAAACTACTTTATAAACAGGTGGTTGATTATCATAACCCAGTTTCCGTAGATCTTTCGACACCATAGACAACGAAACTGCCACAGTACCATAGGACTCCGTCCTTAGCACTAGAAAACAACACAAAAAAATATAATTACATAGATACACCATGCTCAAAAGAATATAAGACTTTTAAAAAGCCCCAAATAAAAAATAAATAAAGCTCTTAGGTATTTTATAACATCCAAACTTCAACCATTTAAAGATTTAAAAATACTTACAGTAGTTATCTTTTCCACTAGCTAACATTTTCGGATCTGATAGTTCAGGGTATCGTCCAGTGATCCAAGCAAGCCAGTCACCAAGTAGTGTGGCAGCTAGAGGTCTAAGAAGGGGGGTTGAGGCCAAGCTCATGCCTGTCGTAGGCGGCAACAGAAATAAAGAATAGCCCCGTAAGGCATCTCCAAATATTGTGTTCTGAGCCTTCACCGAAATAATTATCTGTGGCCCTGTAAATTAAACAGATAATCTATTATTTTCATTACCTATGTATTCCAGACAGAGTTCCTATTCCGATATACAGGAATACCTGCTGTCCCAAGGTTTTCGTTTCTATTTCACTATTTAACTGGATTAAGTTAAATGGTTTGCTTTTTAAGTCGATATTGTCGATATTATTGAGAATTATCATCATAGGTCATGACTATCTGAATATCATTGAATACCTACCTATCAGTTTCATCATTGATAGTATTGTTGATAGACAGCTTAGGCTAAGAACTCACAGAGCGATTTTCGCCCGCGTCCGCTGCGGTTGCGGGACCGCAGCTTCTGTAGAATTCAAATATTTATATAAAAAATTAAAGCACATTTCACGACGCGTTTTACGCCCGCGGTGTACGCGGTTGTATGCGGCAACCGCAGCGGACGCGGGCAACTACTAGAATCGCGCGGACCGCGGTTACCAGCAGCCTCAGCGGGTGGCACCCGCGCGCTTTGCGATCGGTTGGCGAGCGACCGCGGGGGCCAGCGGGTCTTCTGTGAAGTAAATATAATGCAACGGCTCGTTTCTGGTGTGTGTCCATGGCGGTCTGGACCTCAACTGATCGTTAACCGCCCGTCTTGCAATCTTGCGATCATCGCCCGCCACGTTTGCGGGCGATGATCGCAATCGCGGCGGCTGTGTAACCGCGCAAATAACCGGTCTCGTGAGTTAAAACCGCAGTTCCGCTACCGCGGCGGGCACGGTTCAAAATCGCTCCGTGAGTTCTTAGCCTTAGTATCCACATAAGACTAATAAATTAAAATAATTTAAAATAATATAAATAGCTATGATGTTTTAATTTATTATAACTAAACTTTAACGGTATTTGCGAAAATACTTACAACCCGATACATTAGTACTACTGAAAACCATTTCTAAAGGTAAATTAAACACAACTCTTTCGGGATCAATCCCACAACGCGCCATTTGACTGGAGCCAGATGTAAGACCAGCAACTGGCTCCCAGTCGGGTCCCCAAACTGTTTCATACTGTATATACAATAGATCATCAAATACACCACCAGGAAAAGTCACATATTCGATCTGGCCCGTAAATGATACCAAAAACTTTGTGATTTCACTGTCTTTCATTGAACTTATAACTTTTAAAGTCAGTGAGTCGCCGACAAACTTATTAGATTACGATAGCAGTAACCTTTGGCAGTTATCAACAATGAAACCAAAACAATCGTTGCTATAGCAACGTTGTAATAATGTTGCCATAGCAGTAAAATAAAAGGACTGTTTTCAAAAACCGATTTAATCAATGATTGAACGTATTTATGAACTCATAAAATTTATAGATAATATCTATTTTTACACAGATCTGACAATTATTTGTTCAAGTTATACCTTTAATTTTAACAATTAACGATCATGATTTTTTCTGTACACGAGGTGTTTTTGTGCACCAAAGACAAAGGAAAACATGCTTCCGTTTTACTGTTTTACCGACTTATTTTTGAAGTTTTGACACAAGATGGCGTTGTATGTGCTTTCAAAAACCTAATCGGCCATCATTGTGAAGGCGATTCTATTGAATACTTTGTGGATTTTTACGTTTTCTGTGATAATTATCGGCGAAATATAAAGTTTTATTTGGTAAGATACAGTGCCCAGTAGTTCGGCAACTGAATCTGAACTTCAATTTGTGCTTGAAGTGCTTAATTTCAAAACCTAAATGCGTTCAAAATGTCACGCGAAGTGAGCATCAAAATCGTGAACACCATACCATGCACTAAATAATCTTCGTTTTCTTTGGATTAAGTGTATATTACATTTGAAAGTGAGTTGATTCACACCTGGAGTAAATGTGGCACCCTAAGAAAAGTTGAAATTTTAATGTGCGCTGATGAAAACGTTTCAGAAGTATCTGTACACGTCGTAAGGGAACGCAGTTACGCGGGCGAAGGCTTCAAACTTGCCGGCATCATTATGGTGGACTGAAGAAGTGTTTGTTGACGGATTGGTGTTAAATACGTGTAGTAAACAGTGCCGCTAGAGAGCCGCGTACCATGTCGGGCGGCTCGCAGCACAACCCCAATGGTCGACAGTCGCAGCTGGGCTCAGGATGGAGCCCCCTGCAGGTGGTGCTTATTATTCACATTTTGTTGATCACTAACTAACCTATATGAATTTCGTAACATCCTGTCGGAAGTGTTTCATTTGCATGTCTCGATTTAATATTAAATGGTAATGAAAGCGGGTAATACTTACGAAAACACATTTACCTATCATTTTAAATATTAATATCCTTTGTGTTAGTTGTCCCTGAGTATGTATCAGCTTGTGTTAATCACATACCAATCAGCTGTTTTCATTGACACACTTGCTAGTGTGACACATAAATTGGCATGTACTATCATAGTAAATATACCATAGATATCAATATTTTGTTGATAGTTGGAGTAAACAGCAAAAAGTTTTTAGTCAGCAGTAAGTTTATATTACAGTATTTACCTGTGTACTGCCTACTAGCCTATTGGATGAGGAATTGAGGACTCTGACCTTATGCCCTTGTCAAGCTTGTTAGCCTTCACTGTTATTCAGTAAAAATATTCAAAATATATTTATTTCAATATATCCATTACTATTTAATATAACAAATGTTCTTTGCAAAGAGACACCTCATTTGTTTATAGCTAGAATCAGCCATAACCAGTTAAACTTCAAATTAATAACATAATATTTTAAAATTCTTATTTACAACTAGTACAAATAAATAATAAAACTTAAAAACCAAATCATGCTGCAACCATATCTTCACATTTTTTTTACTAATAGTTTGAGATATGCCAGAAAAATCTATTAAAATATTTAATTCTGAAAGAATTATAAGTTAACTTACCAGCAGAGAATATAAATGTGGGGCAATTAAATATTGGGATTTCTTCGTTTTTATAAAATTTGTGTCTAGTGCCCTGACTTGAAAAGAGTGACTGTTTAGCAATAGGCCAATAATCATGATGATTAGTGGAAAATGGGAGTTGGTGTGTAATGGACCTTCTTTCATATCATAATCCATAATAGACAAATTGTTTTATGTAAAACTAATTCCCAGAAAAATGGATCACTTTACCTTAAAATATTGTTTCCCACCTTCATACAGTTTTAAAGGTACTTCCTTTAAAACTTTTTTTTATTAATCTTTATTTTATTAAATGGGCTTTTTTCCATAAAGAAGATTTCAGCCCTATTATTGTGTACAAAATTTCCTTTAAAACTTTATTGCAGTGACAGGTACACATAGGCTACCTAGACATTTTAAAACACAACCTACAATCTATATCTATTATATTGATGACCATGTCTAAATTATGATCATACATAATCAAACTCCTTGTACTAAAGAGTTAAGCAAAGTTTATAATTGTTGTGTTCTCATTAAAAACAAAGTTACAAATTGCCAGTATTTATAAAATATAAAAAAAAATTCACACATTAAAACTGATTTAATTAAAAAGCAATACACATGATGTACACTTATGAAACTGTTGTTGTAGTAGTGATATTGATGTTGAAAATTTTCACTCATCATGAGACATTCTAAATTTATTAAAAATAATGACATACTCACTTCTAAATTCAAATTAGAATAACAACTTACCCATGTGAATTAAATGAGAAAAAAGTCTATACCCAAGTATTCTACTCTTATTTATTAATAAAAGTCATTATATTCAATAAAATAATTTATATGGACTAGTTAGAAAATACATAATGCAACCCCAAATTACAAATTGTTTTTTTGATCAGGATCAGCTCAAAGAACAAATCAAAATAAAAAAAATATGTATTTTTTTGCACACATCTGCTATTTGAATTTTGCCAGATTGTTTTTCAAAATTACTGTGTTGTGCAAAACAGATGTTTTTAACAATTACTCATTAAAATATGTTTTGTTAAGTAGTTTGTAGTGTTTTGGCTTGACCAAACAAGGAAATATATGTCGATCTAGTACTAACTATTCACACACATTTTCATCCTCTATTTAGCTCCTGCTAGTTGTAGCGCTATGTTTTATAGCCCTAAGCCTTCCTCAAAAAATGGACTAATCTAATCAACAACACAAATGGAATTGCTCGATGCAAACTAGTTTGTTTCTGAGATTAATGTGTTCAAACAAAAATTCTCTAACTTTATTATACTAGTATAGATCGGCTACTGAAAGGGGTTGCCAACGAATATTATAGCTGTATTGCTAATAATAAATTTGCAAATACTTATGCATGACATTATAGAAAACATATTTTCTGACCCTACTGTTTCTGAGAATTATAGAGAGTTGTATTTAGAATATTCTAAAGAGCCTGGGCCAACAATTCCTTCATGTAATATTTTTCTGTGTGGTCCACAAATTAATTTGTCTGCCCTTAGTGTAATGTATAATTATGTGATATTTTATTTGTATACCTTTGACACAGGTGAAAATTCTAGATGGGGCAACTGTTTTTTCAATCACCTGTCCCTTCATTTTGCTACTTATCACCTTGCAATGTATTGAAGTCACTTAAAAGATAGTTGGTTCCTTTTTAATAGCAAGCAATGGTCATTGAGACATTAAGAAACATAATCAAATATAGTTAAACAGATCCTAAATAATCCAACCACAAGCAATTCTAGCTATACCCATTCATATTTTAAAGCGCGTCTTTGTTATTTAATCTTGTTGCTTCCATATCTTATCTAGATATTTTTGTGTCTTTTGTGAGAGACAAAATTTATCTGAAATAACGACTTACGTGAATTGACTTATGCTCTACTAGTTTCAAGTGTCAATGGGACTCTTATTCATGGGAAGTATGTGCGTCTTAATTAAAAGTAGTTATTCGATCTTCTGCGCCCTCTGCTGGCCAACGCGAGGGTAACTTAAAACTAGTAGACCTTTACTCATTTAAATCACGTGTAACACGATGTTTTCAAAAAAATTTTAACTATAAATATAGAAAAACCCACTGTGAACATATCTATTATATATATATTAACACATCCAGTGCCCCCGACGCGTATGTGCGTTTCCTTACCTTCCTTTCCTTCCTGTGCGTTCAATACATTAATGTATTGAACGCACAGGTGCGTCGAGGGCACACAGAGTAGCGTAAGGAAACGCACATACGCGTCGGGGGCACTGAATGTGTTAATATCTAGCTTTTTCATTACAAAATTAGGTCATTCATTTATCCTCTAAGTTTATCATACAAAGAACTAATTATTAAATTAATCACAGAACTATAATAAGATTTGGGTAGTTTCCTATGTGAAAAAATAATTATGTTGACTATTCAGTATCTACAATTAATTATTATATTACAATGGTAATTTCATTCATAGATTTCAGACCTGACTATGAGGATGACAGTACATTTTAATTTTAGAGTTTTCTTCATATTTTTCTGTTACAAGTTTGATATTTACTGTGATAACATGACGTCATTTATTTCGAGTTCACAAAATTTATAGAAAAGTATAGTCAATAAAAATATTGAATTCAACTAGTTGGAATCTACCAGATTGTAATAGGTTGTGATATTTTAATGTGAAGCTGCGAAACTTTGGACACTGCCTTAATACTTTAAACCTTAATTGTAAACCTGTAATAGATTAATAGATAAATGTACATACAATATCTGTATTAATATTATAAAGCTGGAGAGCTTGTTCGTTTCAATGAGCTAATCTCCAGAACTACTGGTTCGATTAGAATGATTCTTTTTGTATTTATTAGTCCATTTATCGAGGGAGACTATCTATAGACTAGACTATCTTTAGGACCGGTAAAAAATCGATTGGCAAAATTGTGAGTTGTCAGGTTGCAATAAGGTTGAAATTTCAAATGTATAACACATTTGGCGTTTGGCATAGGCTTGTGGTGTAAAATATGTAAGTATTGCTGTATTTTTTCTAAAATGGTGTAGACATTGAAAATATTTGTAAATCAGTTACAGATGGCGAACTTATTGGCGCGAGCGCCGCAGGCTCACATGGCGTCGGACCGCGGCGTGACGTGGCACACCCCCACCCCGCCTCCCCACCTCTACCATGTACCGGCGCCCTCGCCCCCCGACCCCCTTCAGGTATGAACAATACATTCTACCAGCTTTCCTAGCAGCTTTATCCACCATCATGGGTTAAAAATACCCTGAGTATTATTTCAGACTACATATAATCCATCTCAATCTGCAGTTTTTATTTTATACGATTTATAGTTATATTAAAAGACATGTCAATATTGTTTACCCTAAGTAAACCACCTAAACTTATGGAACATAGTAGGAATTTGCTTGACGTTAAAGTTACCGCGTTTAGTTCTCTGATTGGGTGGATAAATGAATAAACCAATCAGAGTGCTGAATATTTTAATTTATTACCTGTGGATGCTTTTGTATCACAGTGGCATTTTGAACAAGGGACAGATTTTGCTGCTCAATTACAACAACTTTATTAATCTTTTAAGAATAAGGTCTTACGAAATTGGATTTATTTACATTGTAGATTCTAACATCAATCATGATACATATTTTTTAATTTGTATATTTTTATTAAAAAAAATATAAGAATATCAAATAGATTTTTAAACGGACGGAGACTTTTAAACGGCCATTTTACTACATAGTACCTTTGTATGTAGATTAAATGACCATACAATATTATGTATAGGATGATAGTACATTATGCCATTCTAGTGATGGAATTAGAAACCAACTATTACCACAGAACACATTTCTTGAGGTAATGTTATTGATACCATGTTTTTTCAGATCGCACAGAGTACGCAAATAGGATAAACTTAATAAAAAAAATGCCTTTTTCGTATCGCAAATTTTATCGAATGAATGTTTTTCAAAAATCTTTTAATTAATACAATAACATCGTTACATTGTGAACACATCATACATCAATAACAACCATACTATTGTGCCTACTAACTTCTTTATATTAATCTACCTTATCGATTACTATCGTAGGGTCTGTTGCAATTGCAGGCGTTAAAGTCGGCCAGTGCGAACTCTGTGTTCCGACATACTGCCACCCCGCCCGAGCTCTACAGGCACACACCCACCCCACCAGACAAACATCACATGAGGTAAGCTTTGTCCATACTAATATTATAAAGAGGTAAAATTTTTAAGTTTGTATGTAGGGGGTAATCTTTGGAACCGCTCTGGTCAGATTGCCAAAATTCTTTCACTGATAGATAGCAATGTTCCTGAGTACTATAATAATAGGGAGATATAATAGAGTCTAACATAATATATCTTTCAATAGTAATGTAATTGAAGCAGCTCGCCAATTATAGGGATATGGCGACCTCGTTCTTAAGCATTTCTTCAACAATTGGCGTTTTCCAGTTAATGATTATGAAGTTTTATGACTTTACCATTGGAAATGTAGTTTATTCAAGTGTGGGAGAGCCAAGCTTCGCCACGAATGGGACTAATACCACGGCCTCACAAAAAACCTGCGTGAAACAACCACAGCGTTGTGTTTCTCCGTGTGATTGAGGTTACCGGAGGCCCAATCCCTCCCCCTCCCCCCATCACTTCCCAGTCCCTTCCCCCTCCCCCCATCACTTCCCAGTCCTTAAATATCCGAAACCTTTATCCCTCAAAGGTCGGCAACGCACTGGTAACTTCTTTGGTGTTGCAAGTGTCCATGGGCGGCGTTGATTGCTTACCATCAGGTACTCCGCCTACTCGTTTGGCGACCTATACCATAAAAAAACGGAATATTAAAAAGTTTTTCAACAGTTCGATTGGTAGAATTAATGCACTGATCCATGAGTTTTTTTTAATGTATAATCTTTTATATCAATATATATTTATACATTAATTTCCAGACATACTCCATCCCCGGGCGACATCAAGGCGAGTGCGGCGTTACCACCAGTAGACTTATATCAACATTTGGCACCATCGAGAGGTAATCCCGTCTCCGTCCTACATAAATATGTGACTGCACGGTTGGTGCGGTAGTTGGGCAACTGACTGCCGTCCAACGTGTCCCAGTTCGCTTCCTGCACGGAACAACACTTTGTGTCATCCACAAATTGTTGTTCCGGGTCTGGGTGTCATGTGTATAAGAAATTGTATGTAGGTAAACGCACCTACGACACAGGAGAATCATCAACTCATCCTAGAGAGGGCAACGTTTTGCTTAAAAAAAAAAAATTAGCTTACTATAGCTATGAACTAAAGTCGTAACGTAGTATTAACACAATGCGCTTGAAGCCAACTCTGAGTCCACTGTTTTGGAACGTTAGCAGATAAGATGCGCGCGGAGGAGCTGATGGCGTACACGCGAGTGGGCGTGGACCTGTCGCTCGGCGGCGGGCGCGCGGCCAACGGCGCGGCGACGTCGCCGGCGCCGGGCGGGGCGGGCGCGGGCGGCGGGCTGGCGGGCGCGGGTGGCGGGCTGGCAGGCCCGGGCGGGCTGGCGGGCGCGGGCGGGCTGTCGGTGCGCGACGCGCCGACCATCAACAGCCTGATCGCGCGGCGCCACCTGCCGCACGCGCGCGTCGACGCGCTGCTGGAGCGCCTGGCGCCCTCGCCCGTCTCGCCGCACTCCGTCATCGTGCACTCGCGCGCCGCGCCCACGCCCTCGCCGCCCTCCTCCAACGAGGTCTGTCATTCCTTCCCTACTCTACAAGCTTTTCTGATGCACGATCCACTTTCTTTAGCATTAATCTTGCCATACGAACCATTTAAACATTGAATACTTTTTTCGAACTGAGATTTCTGTGTATAACATTTTACTGTGACCTGACTGCGATGTCAAGAAAAGCGAGAAGAAATTAATTTTCTATTTTTTACCCAGAAAAACTGAAATGTGTGTAGACCTACCCGAATATTTACAAATTAATATAAGGTTCGAGGTGTTCATTCATATCATATTATTCCAGGACTCCGCGGACTCATGTGGCGCTCCACCAGGCTCCAAAAGGAAACGCAAGCCAGAACGCACTATACGTGTAACGGCCGCGCCCCCGCCCCCGGCGCCACCCGCGCCCTCGCCCGCGCCTCCCGCGCCCTCGGCCGTACCTCCCTCCGCTAGCCCCGCGGGCCCCGGCGCGACTGTCCCTCGAGAGAATGGCGAGGCGCACGGCACCAGCGACGTGGCGGAACTACGGCCCGCCTCGCCGCGCCCCGACCAGCCGCACGCTAGAAGAAAAACACGCTCCGGCTCCGCTGAAACGATAGACGACATCGCCGCCATGATCGCAGACACAGACAGCGCGCCGGTCGCCGTCCCCGCGCCCGTGGCACCCTCCTCCCCCGCCGCCGCCGTCACCGTGGACAAGCTGCGCAGCGTCTTGGCCAGCCCGGAGGCGGCGCGCGCGGACTCCGCGCCCGACCCCGACCCAGCGCCCGCCGAGGCCCCCGGCGAGCCCGCCGCTCCTGCTGCGCCGGCGCCCCCTGCGCCCCCGGCGGCGCCCGCGCCCCCCGCGGCGGCCGCAGAGCCTGCGCCCCCGCCGGCGCCGGCCGCCGCCCCGCGTCGTCGGAGTGCGCGTACGTCAAACCCCGAAGCCCCCAACGTCCCCGTGGAATCTCCTTCAGAAGGCAAACCGGCCGAGCCCGAGGCGAGTGACGCGCGCACTGCCGAACCGGCCGCCGTCAGTTTCGTGGAGGTGGAGAACCAGTTAGAAAAAATGTTCGCGGGGCTGGAGGAGGAGCCGCTCGGGCGGGACGCGGACGAGGCCGCGGCCCCCAGCTCGGCGGGGTCGGGCTCCGCCGCCGCCTCCGCCGTCGCGCGCAAGCGGCGTCGCTCGGCCCCCGCACGCTCCGACCGCGCCCAGAAGGGACAGCGGAAGAAGGCAGACACCAGACGGCCACGCAAGGGGCCGCGCGACGCCGCCCGCGACGCGTACGACTCCGGTAGCAACGCCAGCTCTAGCAAGTCGCGGGGTCCTTACATACAGGTTTATATCACTTTCCTTCTAATTAATTAGTAAATTATATTGTTGGAATAGGATGTTATATGTAAATAATGATTAATCTGCAGATACGCGGGCCGCGCGACTCTCCGCTGTCAGTGAGCGTGATGAACACGTCGGCCGCCGGCGGGGAGGAGGAGGAGTCGGGCGCGCGGCGCAAGGCCGGGGAGGAGTTCCGCAACGGAGTGCGCGGCCTGCGCGGCCTGCACGCCTCCACGCTGGGGCTGCGCTACGACGCCAGCACGCCCGACGCCACCTGGCTCTGCGCCTTCTGCCAGCGCGGCCCGCACGCCGCCTCGCTCGGAGACCTCTTCGGGCCCTACACGCTCGACAACGATTGCGACGAGTATAGGTGTGGACACTGTACTCTATAATACATCACAGTAAGATAGGTTCACAGTTCCTGCGGTGGAAGGAGATGTGAAAAGAGATGAAAAAATTAAGGTTTATTAGGGACTAATGGCCCGTTCTGCGGGTGTCACACCCGCATAACTCGAATACCTAGATGTAAAGAAAGTGTTACGAACTCTACAACTTAAGTTTGTTTGTGTATGTGGTCAGGGCGCTGGACGAGGCGACGCGGCGGCGCTACGCGTCGGACGAGGTGTGGCTGCACGAGGCGTGCGGCGTGTGGGCGCCCGGGCTGCTGGCGGCGGGCGCGCGCGTGTGGGGGCTGGGGCCCGCCGTCTGGGCCGCGCGCGCCTCGCGCTGCGCCGTCTGCGGCGCGGCCGGCGCGGCGCTGGCGTGCGCGGCGCGCGCGTGCCGGGCGCGGGCGCACGAGCCGTGCGCGCGCCACGCGGCGTGGTGCCTGCACGACGCGGCCCTGCGCGCGCTCTGTCCGCGCCACGCGCCGCTATAGTCTGTGCCCGCCCTAGTGCCGCGCCTAGATATTAACTCGAAAATCTCACTTCGTTCGTAATCGCTCCGAGACGTGTACCTAGTTCCGATGTTTTATATTCCGTTTTAGCGTACGTGTACTCGTCATGAACTGTTCGTCGTATACAACTCCCGATTGTTTACATGGTCATGTGACAATGCAGTGATATTTTAAAGTAATAAATGGACCTTGGATGTAATAAGTATATTTTTTATGTAAAAAATATATAAATAATAAATAAATAGATAAACAACTGTTTAGTTGCCATTATAGTATCAAAAACTAGTCTAAATAAATAGTGTCTTGTGATTTAATTAAAAAATATATAAAAATCGTTTTGGGGTCTATGAAAATTTACATTTTTAGCTTGGTAATGGAGTAATATGTATGTTTGTGGATACTGCATTGTTATCGATGGATTATAAATAAATACACAGTACGTGTAGCGCTCTTATACTTAATGGTTATTTATACCGAAAACTTTACGCTTACATAATTTAAACGTTATACTTCAAATGTTTCGTCGGCGTTCGACTAAGTTGTAGTAGGAGCCCGGCCCGCACGTGGACGACGGGATATGTTGATATTTTCATACATATGTATATAGTGGTCGTCGCACCGACACTGCCAACAGGAACAATAATGCAAGCAAATTATATATGAAATAGATACAGAACTTTATGTAGTATATTTTTACTAAGTTTCATTTCAAAAGTTTTTTTATCGAACGTTTGAAGTGTGAACGTATAAGGGTACCACAAGGCGCTGTCTTCGTTTGCCGGACAGTGAGCACGCCAGCTTCGTACGACGTTGGCTACGTACTTTAATTCCAGTGAATAGAAAAATAGACTTTATTTAGAAAATGTTAAGGTACAAATTTATAGTAGGGAGAATCAGGCCAGTTTAGTGTTTTTAAAAATTTATTCGGACAATGACGCATGGACTCGAACGAACAATTAACAGCATCCAAAGCCTTGAATTGTAAATGGTGTAAGATTTTTTTTATCACTTATGGCAAATGATTACTTTATTAAGTATGTAATTGTTATAAATTATATTTATCATGACATTATAAGCAAATTGAAATACAACATGTTTAAAATGACCAACTTGACTATTATTTATTACGAGTGCACTGTTTCGTTTGCTTTATGATTACTGTTTGTCTAACCTTTCTCACAGGTGGCATACTAATCGTTTTAGTGACAATATTATCGTTACAATTGGGTAGTTTCCTAGGTCAAAAATAAATTATTTAGACGTTTGAATACAATAAAATATTGAAAAATAACTATACTTTTATTCATAGATCGATCGATACACTAAGTTTTAGATTTTTTTTAGCTAATTATCAAGAAATATGTAAGCTATTTGACGCAAAAAAGTTATGACGTCATAGCTCAGTTTTTCATACAAATTTCATAGAAAAGTATCGTTTTTGACGTTTGGATAAAAGTATTGAATTTGACTAGTTGGAAACTACCGTATTGTAGAGGAGCTCTAAATGTCTAATTGCCATTTATTCTAGCATCAAAGACCTAATGGGTTTTAAAAAAATGGTTGTTTGGCATTATTTTGCCGGGTTTGAGGATACTAAATCCGTGTCAGACTCTTACTGACTATAAACCACCCGGTTCTCTCCATCCCCTGCTCCATGTCGAGGCCGCGGTACCTCATAGCGATTGCCCCGCAACTCGATAAGTGAATCGGCCCTGTTGGGCTCCATCTGGGGTGGTCTGTTGGCTCTCTGAGGCACGTGCGGTTTCCCTACGCGTTGTACGCCCAGGTCTGTTTCTGGATCCGAAACAGGTGCCTCACGTTTCTACCCACTCCTCAAACCGCTCCTATAACAGCCTTGCTGAAGGACGGTAGGGAAAAGGTAGGGTTAATATTCTCAAAATTGTTTTGTACTTTTGTATTTGTGCTCGCGCTTCGCAGATTGTAATTGATAGACCTTGATATATTTCGGCAAACGAGCAAACGGATTACCTGATGATAAGCAATCAGCGTCGCCCATGGACACTCGCAAGTTCGCAATGACGAGGAGTTAGTCCAGCCTTTTGGTGATTAGGGATTTGGAGATTTTGGGATAGGGAACGGATTGGGCCTCCGTTAACCTCACTCACACGGCGAAACACAACTCTTTGGTTACCTATTTCACGCCGGTTTACTGTGAGGCCGTGGTATTACTCCGGTCTCCGGTCGAGCCGACCCATTCGTGCCGAATCATCGCTCTCCCAGACTTCAACCAACCTAGCACCTTTTAAAACTAGCTCACCGCTAAAGCTAACTGCGCAAAATGGTGGCAAACGAGCAGACAAATATCCTGATGGTAAGCAATGGGCGCCGCCGACTGACACCCACAACACCAGAGAAGTTACGAGTGCGTTACCGGTCTTTTGGTGATTAGGGTTCCGGAGATTTAGGGATTGGGGAGGGGAAGGATTGGGCCTCAGCTAACTTCACTTATTTAGATTTAGGTCCATGTATAAGTTCATGGGTGTACTCGGTATTATATTGTGACAAACAATATTATGTTATCTGGCGCATTCGATTAACTACAGATACCAAAATTCTTCATTGGCTCCTCTACTAGACGTAAAGCGAGCTACTTTGTCGGTAATATGGACTACAATACATAGTGTTTTAGAAACAATACTATGGCAAAGACGCTTTTGTCCGAAATTTAATCACAGTTTATTGTACACATTTCAGATTATCTTGTAAAATACCTCTGCATAATTATAGAAGTAAAAAAAAAGTATTTCTTGCTTCTTATTTCATAAGGAATTAGGTAGTTTCCTAGGTCAAAAATAAATTCATTCGATGTTTCAATACTATAAAATATTAAAAAATAACTTTTATTTTATTCATCGATCGATCGATACACTAAGTTTTTGTTTTTTTTAGCTAATTATTATGAAATAAGTAAACTATTTGACGCAAAATTGTTATGACGTCATAGCTCAGTTTTTCATAGAAAAGTATCGTTTTTGACGTTTGGATAAAAGTATTGAATTTGACTAGTTGGAAACTACCGTATTGCATATGTAGTAGGTATAATATTTTATTTAGGTTTGAAAGCCTGGTAAAATTCAGCAGTATGGTAGAACTCAACAAAGGCATATCTAAACTAATCTATACTTATAGTCAATTCTGTACATGTTTTATTTTAATAACTATCGGGGCATGATTAGTACCTACTGTAAATTTTTGTCTGTCTGTGTGTATGTTCCTTATAGAAACAGAAACTAGCCAACAGATTTAAACGAAACTTTATACAATTATTCTATATATTCCTAGGCAGGTTATATGACACTTTTCATCACGCTACAATTAAAAGGAGCAGAGCAGCGAAGGGAAATGTCGGGAAAACGGGAGAAGTTACCTACACTATTTTTTTAGCTTTCGTCGCGTGTGTCTCCTTAATGGTCCAAGTTACATAGAAACGAAGTATTACGAGAAAGTTCAACATAAAATTATCTACAAAACATCCTACAACAGTATAGGTATGTCTATGTTTTATGGTTGACACACAATAACACGCGTAACTCCTAACAGGTCAGCAGTTCGGAGCATTCTGTTTGTAGGTACTCTTACGTGTAAACGCACACACTGTAACTTATCCCTAACTAAAAAAGTTTACATCATTCTCTAGTTAATAAAAAAAGAATGATAGAAATCAGTATACATGCGTGCACCTTTTCGACGCCATGCCTCAAGATAGTTAATAATCAATATCAATACATGTAATAAACAGTAAATCGTCGGTGTCTGTACATGGAAGATAAATAACAAAACATTACTAGGAGAACTTTATAAATGTACTTAGTAGAACCCAAAACAAAATGTGGTAATTTTGTCATACCCACAACCAAGAGGACGAAGTCGCAGGCACGGCTAGTTTTACCTATATATTTCATGTACAGATTTGACCTGTCTACAGATTTATTATAAGTAATAGAATAAGATTGCCAGGACGTTATCTATAACATGTTTTAGGAGAACTTCCCGAATATCCTACGAGACCGGGCACTATGTGGGTGAAACCAAAAATCAGCCACGCATACGAATCGCGTACGTCTCTGGCAGAAGTTAGTAATAAGTAATTATGACATTAGTATAGATATGCCTATGTAGAGTTTGAACGCGCTAACCTCCGTAACTACTGGTGCGAATTGAACAATTCTGTGTAAGTTAGTTCAATTATCGAGGAAGGCTATAAAACATCACGTTACGATGGAGGTAGAAGGAGACCTGTCGATAAAACCGCTCGAGAATAGTTTGGCATATTAGGCGATCAGATATCGACTCATTTTTTCCAACTACGCGCCTCCAATACCCGCCCAAAATAATAAAATAAAAAAAATTTTTTTTTTTTCAAAAACAAAATATCTTGAGCTCCGCAACGAAATAAATCAGAAGATAGATGAGACGACAATAAAAAAAAACTGAATGATTCTTTTTTTTATTATCCTTTAAATCGTGGTAATTCGATACACAGCAGGCGTTCGCTTGGCTCGTTTGATGAATTAAATATATTCAATGGGCGTTTAGCCACTACCTCGCCTGGTGGTTCGAATGAAATTGTATTTAGAATAAGTTAATATGTAAGTCATTGTCATCCTATCTATTTAACAGTGTTTTTTTTCTGTACCCGACAGGGTCAACAATTGTGTTTTTTTACAAACCATCTATGCATGTACATTGCGGAATGCAATAAACAATTGAGTATTGAGTGGTGAGCGATACGATTGCGTTGCTGGCCTTTTGGATATTAGGGTTTCGGAAATATATTTAGAAATAAGCAAAAGAATTTTGATAAAAAAAAAACAGAACAGAAACCGGCGTGAAACAACCACAACGTAGTGTTTCCACATACCTCTTCAATCCATGAATTCCTTCGAAACCGAAAATACCCGCAACGAACCTCAGGTGATTAGGAAGTCCATGGGCAGCGCCGACGACTTACCATCAGGTAATTCGCCTACCCGTTTGTTCCACATAAAAAGAAACGAAAACCAAATCACATTCGCACTACATTATAATTTGAGAGATATGCATTTTACAGTCGTAAAAGGAGCAAGTCGCTACAAGGTCACTGTTGCATTTCCAATCAGCCCCGTACGCGATGCTCTCGTGTTCTAAGTACTCGCTGAGGACCTCCATTTCGTCATTGACGCGTAGTACACGGAACCCGCCGTACATACAGGCCGCTAGAACAGTGCATGGCTTGTTTGGGTGCCATTTTAATCGCCACACGCCGCCGTTGACATCCAGCTCTCGAACGCTACACTTTAGATTTCTCGTGTCCCAGAGGCGAACCTTTTCATCATAACTGCAATAATAATTATAATTTATTTGTAATGGTATACATACAAAAAGTGTGATGTGTATGAGAATATGTCCTAGATCCACGGCTATTAAGTATTTGTAAAGTTATCTAAATATCACCGGGGACAATTGGGTAGTTTCCTAGGTCAAAAATAAATTAATTCGACGTATTACAACTGTGTTTTATTTTATTGTATTGAATAATTCTGCGTACATCTATCTGAATAATTTTAAACAGGTAGTAATATAAGATTCATTTATTTCTTCATCATCATCGTTGAAATAATATTTGATACTAGCTTCCGCACGCGGCTTCACTCGTGTGGTTTGCTGATAAAAAGCACATACCTACGTGTTAATCACATACTAAATCATTCCAACCGTTCTTACGTGACATATATCCATACATTCTCACAAACTTTCACATTTATAGTAGGATTACGATATCACGTATCTTATGTATTTAGTACAAAGACAAACCTGCCAGTCAATAGCTGATACTCGTCATCAATATGGCTCCGTATAGAGGTGACGCCAGCCTCGTGTTTCTTGTTCACAGTCGTAGAAACATCAGGCACTCTGATGTCATAGCTCTTAAACATACAATCATCGCCCCCTTAAAAATAGGAATTTCTGAATAATATTACCTACTCAAGTTTATGGTTATCCATTTCATCGTTAGGTACCTCTACGTTTAATTAGAAACAAAATTGCGGTGAAGAAGTGAAAAAGTATGAACCTGAATAAAAGACGTCAGAATTCCAGTAATTAAATGCAGCGATCCACGCCTCGAAACTGTGGCTCTCCCATTTCCCTAGCACTTTAACACAATTTTCCACTATTCTCAAAATATGAATACAACCAGCTGAATCGCTGACTGCCAGATAAGGTTCGTCTGCATGCGTTTTGTTAGTCGACCAGTCAACGGAGAGAGCTAACCCGTTCTCGCAAATCGTATGCTCTAACCATAACGTCAGCTGTAATACTCCACTTTCATTGGTCAGCTGGTAAAGTTGCAGAGTACCAACGGATGTTACAACAGCGAGTGTGGGCAGGTTTTGCAATTTGTGGTAACACCATTTTTGGTCTAATATCCCTGAGGTGTCAATCGAATGAATAGGCGCCAACTCTGCAGTGTTTTCGTTTATAGCAAATAAATATATTTTTCCTAATCTCGTTTGTCTCGATGCCGCGTTGCCTGTAACGTAAAAATAGGTAGATTAATTTTTTAACACTATGGTAATGGACTAAACCATTTAGGAAACTTTAGTAGGTACCTATGTAAGAATTTTATTAGGTCGCGTTTTTTTTTATTTGTATATTTTAATAAAAACACACAAACATTACAGTTACATATAATTTAAATATGACTAAAATTGAAATCTCAAGTTACCATGCAAATGACATATTCATCTCATATCTGCCTCCTACCAACCCCTTAATATATGTATGTCTCAATGTCAATTTTACCTTCAGCCGTATTGTCCAGCTGGTAAGTGCCACAAACAAGCACATCCCTATATGGATCTACGGGACACCACTCCACAGAGTCGGCGCTGTACGCTGTGTCCCAGCGCCACTTATTCTGCCAAACCGCCATGCTTCTGAAATTAAGTAGGTGATACATAATGCAGACTTTATAATACGAACTGTTACTCGAGCTAAAAAACAAGAAAATATCCTGCATTCAATTTCGTTCAGTTGTAATTTATTCCATCTTTAGATAATGCCCTTGTCCCAAACTACTTTTAACCTATCTAAATAACTCTTAGGACGATCAGTATATTACTTAATATACTTATATGATTTATCTAAGTATAATAAAATACTAGACTACCTACATAATAATATTTCAAAAAGGAACAAAAATAAAATGGGATTACAATTTCTAGTCAGAGTTTAGGCCTAAATAGTACGAATCAATAACATATTTAGGTACTTAATATTATGATATGTTTTGCGAAACATAAATTAAATAAAATATTTCTACTAAGCACTTTGAATGGAATAAATCGTTAACGCGTTGAGGAACAACATGACAGTGTTTATCAAAATCTTATGCAAACACCATGCCAATATAAATAATCCGGACAAATTAAAACATAACCGTATCAATGGAAGGATAAGGACAGCAATAAAATACGCAAATACTATTTTTAACCCATTTATTGTAATAAAAATATGCCCATAGATGAATAATTACTAACATTATAAAGACGAGCTAACTATATCTCAATTACATCCATTGCTTCACATGTAGAATAATACATAATAATATAAAATTTGTACTGTCTTGTGGTTCGCAACTTACATATTACTTTGGGACAAATAAACAAGTATTAATTTATTAATTATACAATATAGGACTGTCCCATAATCACGACTCTACGGACGACGACGTGTCATCTGTTTTTATATATACCTGTTCTATAAACATTATAGATATGGTATTTAAAAAAAATATTAACATTGAATAATAAATAATGTAAAATGTATTACCAGACAAATCGAAAGCGGCCAATAAAAATTTAAGCTGATTGATATTAAATTAACATTCCCAGTATACAAGTTTTGGAATGTTTTCATTAAATATTTAAGCTTATAAAGACAGCAGTCAAGTGGCTGTCGTATTCTCATATTATATAAGACCAGACCAGATCACGCGCCGTCGTGCTCAAAAATCATAGTTAAATGCATAATTCAAAATTAATTCTAATTTGTATTGGTATGCTTTGCAACAAATATATTCTATAAATCTAATTGTTTTATCACTTGTTTACATCGTATCATTCCGGTAATTATGAAGTTGTTAGGTTTAGGTACTCCATATACCTACATACCCAGCTTATCAATGTTTAAAAACATTTGTAGTACAGTGAACACCAAAAGATGTACCTAAATATCATTATTGTAACTTGTGTTATATTTTAATGTTGTCAATATATTGGTATTTACACAAACCATATTTAGTCTGTTTTTTTAGGAAAGGTAGATATTCAAAAATAGATATTATAAGGAGAGCTGCATCCAACAATGAATGCGGTCATTACAAGGTACATCTTTTCGAACACCTGTGTACAATCGAATACTACGATATGTAAATATACACTAACGACCAATAATTCAATCGGGAATATATTAAAATATAACTTTCCGTTTAGAAAACTTATAGATCTGCTTATTTTGCCTACAAGGGTATACAGTTAATTACGAATCGTATACTAATTGATTTTATATTGTCGTTATTATTATAATAAGGATGATCTAACAATTATAATCTTTTAAGTCAGGTGGACCAGGTCAACCTACTTCTTTTTGTCAAATGTCTTCATAATATTAAGTTTATTGTATTGATATATAGTCGCAAATCCACATTAAAAAGTGTCATAGGGTGAAGGTTTAACTGCTGCTGGACCAAAATATCTATCATTTTAAGTAATTAATGAGCAAAGCATCATGCTTTTTGTACATAGTCACTATTCCAATTATGTCTACTTTGCTTAAAATCATTTATCAATCAACAGTGTTGCTCTATTTTTGGCAAAAAAATAAATAAGTAGGTGTACATGACATTATGTTAAAATTTCACAATTTAGCGATGTAGAGACAATTCTATATAGTGAACAGGATAAATTGAACCCAATTACTACTACTAAAATATTACACACTGACATAATTTGAAGACTTTTCAAAAACAAACCTAACAACAACCTGACAAATTTAGACCATATATGTAAAAAACAGATTAAATATAAAAAATATTGTTTGAAATGGACTTTAAGGGTTTACAATAACATTTATTTACGTAAGTACATTATTTATTAGTGGTAACTTATTTTATAAGAGTTTAAAATCTACTTCGTAAATTCTTCTTACATCTATATAGTCTAAGAAGTATACTTGACGGCAGTTGGACCGAAAGACCTATAATTTGAACAAGTAGGTAGGTACTAGTACAGGCGAGCTAAGATTATACAACCGGAAGTGTTCAGGATCGGTGGTACTTTTTGAGTATATTTATTCCAACACCAAATGCTACATTTATACTTGGGAAATTATTTTGTACAGTAACTCTTTGCAACGCCACTACGATGCAGTCCGTTATAAAGAAAAATTACAATGGAACGCCGCCTATACTAAAATATTGAACTATTGTCGTTGAATGGTAAGCACTACAACTAAATATATACAACTTAACATCTAGCAAACGGTAATGATCATAAATCAATGAGCATGTTTTCTTATAAACTATAATGAGGTCACAGTAACTCAGTGGACAGAGACACACGTTCGACGTTTGCGTTTACATGGCATTTTTGTTTTTCTCTGTTCGTCTGACCACTGATAGGCTTGATTTTGGGATGTAAAAAATGAGTACAAACAACCCAAGCCATCTGCGTAATATCAACATAATATCCTCAAGAATAATAACCAGTAGTAGCTTCATACTACACGCAATAATCAAATCAACTCTATTGTTCAAAGTTCTGTAGGTTGACTTTGGGGCGTGGCGCCACTGAAGAATTATATATACACTTGGTATAAGTTGAGCAGTTTAATAGAAACAAAACATGCATTATCAATACATATTAGTTATATTTTAAATGCCAACCCAGCAACGCCACCTTAGCGGGATATTAAAAAAAGTACTAAAAAATGGTGGCAACCTTAAATATATGACAATGATATTAAACATTTAAAATATTAATATTTTGTTTGTGTATGAGGTAGATGTTCACAATAAATGTTGCAATCACAGCCTGTTTTAATTCAGGACACATTAACTGTTCATATCGTCGTCCATTCTGACACGCTATCAATAAAATAGAATGGTTTGAAGAGGTAGATGTGTTCATGGGAACTTTTAGACAGCAGATAATTCCACAGTCGTATTATAAGTGCAGCCTGTTTGTGCAAGCAGCCAACTACATCTCCGAACCATTGGACCAATTACTACAGTGTTCTCAACTGCCAAAATTACAATTACCACTTATCATTATAAAATATTAATAATTTTAACTATATTTGTGTGCTTTAGTCATGCATGAAAACAAGAAGTAAGGTAGTTTTTTTGCAAATATATGAGCAATGTAAAGAATTAAAACAGTTTGCTTCATACCTTACTTCAATCTACATGCATGACAAGTGTAAAACATGCAGCTAGATTAACCGATTGTTCTTTGGAGTTTGCAATGGCCTTTGGTACAAAAAAAACACAAATAGCTTTATAATCACGACATAGTATAAAACAAAGCCGCTTTCTGTGTCCCTAAATCTCTATGTATACTTAAATATTCAGAACTACGCAACGGATTTTGATGCTATTTAAAATAGATAGAGTGATTGAAGAAGAAGGTTAATGTATGATTACATTTGTTACTTTAATAGAAGAGAAATTTAGTGTCAACATTACATCCGTGCGAAGCTCGGACGGTCACTAGTGAAACTATATTAAAATATTTCCTAAAGCAGGTCAGTAAGGTTTTAAATAGAAATATTTAGTAACTATCTACATTATGTATGTTATTATATTAACCTGTATATGGTGCCTGGTGCATAAATATATATCTTAGAATACTTCAAGAAGTTACAAGACATTTAAATACTTGATTTTTATAGAAAAAAATACTGTAGATGTAAAAGATATAGTAAAAACTTCTATGGTAATTTTAAAATACAGAATCATCGGAGACATAGGTATAGAAGTGAAAGCTGGTTCTGTTTGTAAATAAGAATTTATGAAAACTCAGATATTTTGTTCTTTGGCAGTAAAAATATGCTCAACAGCTATTCTGTTTTAAACTTGAGTACCTAAGGCCATTACATAAAAATCTTCACACCATTTCACATAATGAATTAACAATTTTGTTGGGTATCACAAAATTTAACTAAATTCTCTTAAATTTATGTCTAAGTACCCTGAATTATATTTAATTCTAATAAATTAGGTATTTAAAATATTCTTCTGAATTTAATACTTTTGTGAAGTTCAAGTTGATAATGTTATTATTATTTTTTTCTTTATGCTTTCTAATTAATGAGAAACAATAATGGATGCCTTGCAGGAAAATAGCAAAGAGTCACAAACTGGGAACTTTTTATATTGCTTAGCTCACAATAATTCCAAAGAAAAGGTTATTGTTTTATTGCAATTTTCACATCTAATTTATAAATAGAAAAAAATACTTAAAAGTTCCCGATTCAGTAGTGTGAGAAACTTTACTAGAATTTTATAACAAAATCTTTACTTGTATAATTTAACCATATTTTATAAACCATTGCTGAACTTTCTGTGAAATTAAAAGATGTTCAATATCATCATAAAACACTTACTTTGCATTTACAACCAATGTTATGAAACATTTAAAACTATGAAAGTTTGATCCGTTTGATTTGAATAAATAATAATTAATAAATTGTTATATTTATCTGCTGGTTTAAATATCTATTTCATAAGTCACATATAATGAATATTAAACAGTCACATTAAAAATAGTGATTAGTGTCAGAGACAATCACATTTACTATTGAAGCATTGCTCCGTGTTAATGACATAATAACACTGGAAGTGCTTCCAACTTTTTGTTCTCAGTTTAACTCTAACCTTTTAGCTTTGTTATAAATCTCATCAAATACCAGAATCTAACAAACACAATCAACAATACCAACCATGTTTTGTTTCCTATCATAATTATCATGTCTAACCAAAGATTCAAGGTACACTAGAATTGACTGGGAAATTGTTTCATGAACAAGCTATTGCCTTGCAGACCTCTCGGTTTCAATAAGACATTCCCTCACAAGGATTCTGGCGTGAATGATCCCACGTTTAAGACGTTCAGCAGAGCTTCGGCTACCTGAGTAACTTGGACGTACTTCCTTACCCATCTCCTCAATGACCGCGAGTAATTGAGCGTACTTCGACATACCGTTGTCCTTATCCTTGCTCATGGAAGATGGAGACGTCGCAGGCACCGTTGATATAGTTGCCTGACTGTTACTGCTATGGCTCAGCTCTTTATGCATGTTCTTGCCGCTCATGGGGATAGCCGTAACGGTCACGTCACTTAACTTGGACTCTACGGCCTGAATATCCATCGCTTCCATCGTGCACTGAAAAAGTACGGATGACTTTAGCAAAACAAAGGAAATTGAAATTATACATCAATGAAACGCAACTTACCTATCCTAAAACTAACTTATATACATTTTCACGAGCAAAAACGCGTTTACACACAGACCGCGGGTGTTAACTGATAAATTCTACAATAAATTATGTGCTTATGTAGGACATACCTAATCCGATCAACTTCAGGCTCTCCAAGAAAACGGACGTTATTAGCGTATAAACTATATTTTTTAGCGGTTCGACCTAAATATTGTGGAACGTGCTATTTTCTTTTAAATGCATATGACTTTCACCGACGAAACGCGTAATAAATGATTAAATAGTAAATAACAAACAAATCCTCAAATTAGTTACCACATTGACAATAAGATAACTTTTTTTAGGAAGAAAATAAATGTATGTCGTAGGCATTAAAATTTATTCAGCCTACGTATAGTTTATTTTTTAATTATAACAAAATAAAATAGTTTTTTCATTAATGATTTTAGAATTTATAGATAAATATTGAAATTAATTGAATTTTATATATGAAATAAATTTGTAACTGCGTTTCGTTTTACGTAAACACTTACTAGTTATTTGCTGATTTCTCCATTTCTGTCTGTCACTTTATCGTTAAACGTATCGTATCGTATCAGAATTTCAGAATTGTCAACTCTGCTAGGTTGCGGCTGGGACTGTAATTTTATTATGATTTAATTTTGATTTGCGAAAAGCTATTTATAAGTGATCATAATAAAATATAAATGAGTGCTAACTTCCAAAGCTTATAAAAATATAATAAGCATTTCGTATACCAATCATGTGCAGTTTTAAATTGATTAAATTAATGTAAATAATAAAAGAAGAGGTCGGTGCAAAGTGATTTCTCCGCCCACTGCGACCATTATGCGATTAAGGAGTCGGGAATTAAGTGTAGAGTGGACGCAGCGGGATATCTGAGTATGTCTGGGGACGGCGATCGGGCGTCGCGCCCGAACTCGCTGGTGCTGGAGGCGCCGTCACCGGAGCGCGAGCCGTTGCACTTCGACGTGCAGCTGGTAGGAGCTCCGCCTGAAGTCGAGCAACTTGTCAACAACATCAAGCAAGTCGCCGAAGAGTTCCTCTATCATTGGAAAACTTTCCCTATTGGTGAGAACTACTTTTTTGTTGTTGGTACTTGTAGTATGATGTGTGTCTCTGAATTTGAAACCACAGAAAAAGTATTTAATATTAAATAAATATTTCTGCACAAAGAAAATGTTTAAAATTTATTCATTCCTTATTTCTAAATAATAGCAAAATTATGTATAAAGAGTTTTCTATTAATTTTTTAATAAATTTATTTTTGAACTGTAATTATCTTTAAACTCATGTGTTACAACGAAACAACCAAACAATGAATATATTGTTGCAAATTGGCCATAAAGCAGAAAATATGTTGTATCATTATTCTGAATTCCTACTGTGAGATGTCATTGCCATCCTCCCATGTAACTCAAAAGACATATTTTCCAATAATTGTTTACAATGTTTTGTTAAATTTACAATGTTTTTCCATACATAATCATATAATAAGCATAACAAGGGAATATATCTAGCTTTTGGCTTTTTTTTATCTTCATGGTATGTTGATAAAATCCTTTGTGTCAATCAACCTGTGTACATACCAAATATCAACCAAATTGGTCAAGCTGATTTTACATGAAACAATTATAAACATAAATCCTTACATTCTCACAAACTGTCACATTTATAATGCAAATAGCATTGTAGTTGTTAGATCTTGTGCTTTCTACAAATGAAAAAAGTTCTCAATCAAGCATGTGGTAACAGCATAGAGTATAAAGCATTCATTACCATCCTCTTCCTGCTGGTGTCATACAAGCTTACAAAGAGAGACATGACCATAATCTAGCTAACAGCTTTTTTATAAACACTACTGCCAATTACCTAATGTAGATTTAGGAACAAAAAATTTTTTTAATTCCTTAAACACATTTTAAACCTTACCTGGCTACAAGGAAAGAAGGAGGTTCTTATCTGTACCTGTACCGTTTTTCATGTCTGTTCTGGCATAGCCCTCTTATTTATAGTATTCCTTTTTTAATTATTTTTTTTTTGCATTCTAAAATTACTAAATAAAAATATTTTTTTTCAAAAACTAAACACCAGCTTAGTAAGTTTCCTCAAAAAATTCAATAGATAAACTCGAGATAGTGCAAAATAGACAACAACTACATAGGAATAATAAATATACATAAATTAAATACATAAAAACAATATATTAGAACACTAGTATATAAGCTCCTATAGCATGAAGCCTACCTATAGATAGTCTTATTATATTTTTATATAGGGGCCATCTAACACAAAAATAAATGTTCAATTGGAACTATTTGGTTTGGGTGATTAGTGCAAAAATATCTCTTAGCTTTTTATAACATTAGTAAAAAGACAATCCACAGTAAAACCTGTGACTAAATATTTTAATAACTATAATTTCCCACTTTTTTGTTTGAAAACTTTTAACTCATACAATACAAATATACATATATACTTTTATTGGGTTTTAGAAGTAAATAAATATAATAGCTTCAGGGGTCCACCTGATCGGCCTCCGGTGACCTCCCTGACACAGCGAAACACAACGCTGTGGTGATTTCACGCCGGTTTCCTATGAGGCTGTGGTATCACTCCAGTCAAGCCGACCCATTCGTGCCGAAGCATGGCTCTCTCATACTGAAGCGTGTAGTGTAAATGTAGTGAGATTATTTACTGATTGATGTTAATAACAAGTATTGTTTCCAGTGCTTCCACCATCTCGATTCACGGGTCCGGGCAACCGACCGTCCGACATCATTATAGCGCCCCCGTGTGAGGAGATCGACGCGGCCGCTTTAGATGCGGGCACCGAACCTCAGCCCCTGTCTCCAAAGCAGCTTCACTCCATTAGAGAGAGGGGGTAAGTGCCTATTGCTTATAAGCATGGCATGTCTACCAGCTTACACAGCTACGTAGTGCTTGTCCTAGTTTAGTAAGGGGGATTCACGTTTTTGTGGAATATCACACCATGTGCAGTAGTTTCAGACAATATGTAAGTAAATACACGTTGAAAATGCTGACTGTTGGCCCATTCCTAAAGATTTCCGACCGTCTTTATTTTATTCTAAAGCTAACCAACAAAGAAATGTTTTTATCTGAACTTAATTTTAATAAGAATTGACAGTCATCTCAAACATGAAGATGTGATTTCTTTTACATCCGCTCTCGTTTGACACACTTTGTCTGCAGTAATTATTTAGGCTATGGTACATGAAGCTAACATTCCGACACGACACACTTCTCGCGATATAGGTACTCAACATTACTACGTGCAGACTTTGCTATGCAATAATTGGAAACTCTGAAAACTCTGTAACTAAACACATTCCCTAACAATTAAGCGACTCAATTAAGACTTTTTAACAGTGGTTGGCGTGTTCTAGGGACGCCATATTGGCTACATTGTCATAATTTTATCGCTGTGTGTCCTTATTTCGTTATATTTTTTTATAAAATCTTGCTGATGTGGTTTATCTGTTCTCGAGATATGAGTTCAGTAACGAAAAACATTTATTTATATTTAGATTGATATGACGATTGAGTTACATTTGGTTAAGCACCGAGCCGACTGAGAAACAAAAGAAAGAGTGCAGCGTTTAGTCCCGTGGGATACAAACGCACACACACAAACTTACTTGCCCCCAAGTACACTGTATGCCGCACTTATATGATTGAGTGAAAACATTAATTGAGCTTGACGTGTTTAAGGGCGGGCAAGGATCCGTTTAAGTCACTTTGCATTCATTCATAATGCCATTACTGCTAACAGCGGTTAAACTTCCCGCCAAAAATAACGTCACAATTTTGAGAACCGATGAATGAGAACGCAGAGAATTTAGATACCAAATGTAATGTGTAAAACTAAAAAATAGTAACCATAGAGTTTCTTGCTCTTTCTCCTCCATTTGAATCTACACTTGGAACGAGGAAATAGCTTAACTAAGAGGACTGACCGACAGACTGACACTTTATAATATGTTTAAGCTATATTAGACGTTCAAAAATAAAAAATAAAACGTTTAAGGGTCTAATTAAATGATGTTAACTTTTATTTTTAAAATAAGTCTCTAAAACTAGTTTAGATTTTATTAGTAAGTACCCGTTTGCCTACTCATTCGGCACAACTAGCTTGCCCGGAGTGGGGGAGGGGGGAGTGTCAGACTCTTACTGGCTAAAATCACCCCGATCCTTCTCCTGCTCTAGGCCAAGGCCGGTCTCTTATTGAGCTTAGTGTGATGTTTTATAGCATATAGCCTTCCTTGATAAATGGTTTATACAAAACAAAACTATTGTTGAATTCAAACGAAAAAATCTCTTTATAATACATATTAATAATAAGTATTCTTCTAATCCTAAGTACTACCATATCCTACTTCCTACGAATAAAATAATCCTACTGTGCGAATGTCTGGATGTATGTTTGTCACGCTTTCACGCAAAAACTGCTGGAACGATTTGGTTGAAATTTAGGATTAACACATCATCTGTTTTTGTCAACATACCACGCGGGCGAAGCCGCGGTTAAAAGTTAGTTTGCGCATAAATAAAAACCGTCTTTAAGGGAGTTGTTTGAAAGCTATTCATTAGTTTGTTTCGTATTTACACTCCGCTGACCACTCGTCATGGATGGTCCGCACATGCGTCAGAACGTCGCAATAGTACACCCTGCATCCTATTTATTTACCTGCACAAAAATTTAGTTTATTTAAACAACACACTACCTACATGTTTCGTCACATAGTACGTACAAATATTCATATCATAAACACAATATAAAATTGTATCGCTTAATTGTTTAAAACTATACCTACCTATCATAATTCCTAAATACTGCGCCAAATTATTTTTGGTTAAGGTAATTTTTTCCTTGAGAAGGTTAGATATATGAAAGACTGAACTATGTATGTACATAGTTAAAGCTTTCCGTGTATTTTGAGCTAATAATTGAATAACTATAGTAATGTAAAATAATGATTCCTTATCATAATCTCGTTAACTACTACACTAGCTCCCGCCCGCTTGGTAAGCTGATGAAAAGCAGTCAATGTGTTAATCCAAGGTATCCTCTATCTAAGCCGGGGTTGCGGGGTAAGCGCAATGAGGCACCGCGACCTCGGCCCAGAGCAGGAGAAGGAACAGGGGGGTTTTAGTCAGTAAGAGACTGACACTCCCTCCCGCCCGGCCCTGGGCGGGAGAAGTCATTTGACGATTTTCCCCTCCCAAAAAAAAATGGTATCATCTATCTACATAGAGCAACTAAATCGGTCCAGCTGTTTGCGCGTAAGAATAACAAACAAACATACATTCTCACAAACTTTTACATTTATAATTTTATAATAGGATATATTTCCTTTCGCCCAAGATGAGTCGAAAGGTAGGGTCAGTACGCTTACTGAATAAAAACTCCTTACTGAATAATGCGATCGCCTTGCAACTCCGGCAAATTTTTTTATTTGGCTTCTGTGCCACGTCATTTATTTACCCACATTTAAAAAATGTATCACATTTTGAAAAAATACATGGTTTAACATGTTTACATAAAGTGGGCACTATTTATTAGTAACAGTAGCTACATCACGGTACATTTTCAGGTCGCCCATTGAGTTAATACGGTTAATTATATCCATGTAATTGTATCCGCCGACGCCGCCGCTTCATAGTATCACATTGCGATCCCGGCTTATCGTTACAAGAGTGCAGAGCAGACTGCGCTCCTCCACACTCTACAAGTTTACGGAAACAAACATAAATTATACATTATAAATTTAAAATTTAAAAAAGCGCTGACAAAACATCTAATATTACTTTAAAAAGTAATAATTAAATGAAAACGTGGCGTTGAGGGACCGATCCAAACATTTTATTATCAATTACATATTTCTATTTTGTCGGGTGTCTAATATATTTTTTTATTTTATACTTTTTATAGGTAAGTATTTTATATCATTTTCCAGTCATCAACATTCCCTTTCAGTGCGTTTTCATTTGACACCCCACTCGAGTATATTTGCAGACCTTCGGTTACTCTTCCCCACTTATCCCCCTCCCCCCATAACTTCTAAACAGCTCAACCGATTTTCGTCAAACATGTCTAAGAAAACTCGCACGTAAGTCACCTTTAATACAAAAAAAACTAAATTGAAATCGCTTCACCCGTTCAGGCTCCAGGATGCCACAGACAGACAGACAGACACGTCAAACTTATAACATTTTCATCTTTTTGCGTCGGGGGTTAAAAATGGGGCTGACTAGATAAATACATAGATATATTTTTCGAACACTATGCAGGTAGGTACTTAGTGATGATAGCTTGGTAACTATGATCTATTGGTTTAGGTAATTAACTTATTATCGATAAGTTGTCACACAGTTCGCGGTGGCTGGGCAACTGACTGCCGTGCAACGTGTCGCGGGTTCGATTCCCGCACGGAACAACAGTTTGTGTGATCCACAAATTGTTGTTTCGAGTCTGGGTGTGATGTGCACGTGAAATTGTATGATTGTAAACGCACCCACGCCACGAAAAAAAATAAAAAACCAAAATAAAAAAAAAAGTTGACAGTTAATTATCATGTCTGAAGTGTTTATGGTTAGAATAAATGATTTGACTGTATCTTTGAATCGTTTTAGTCAAATAATCATAGGTAATGTAAAAATATTAATAGCCATAAGTAACGTAAGGGAAACTTATTTGTGGCGTAACAACCACCGAGCGAGGCTAGGATATGTCGACCTTTACATATGAGGGCGGGCGACAATGTACCATGAGCCGTGCTAGGGACTTATTTATAACTGATTAAAATTGGCCGGGATGACAGTAAACAATGTTCTAAGTAATAAAAAAAAAATTACTATAATAATAATATACATAATAGGTATATATCCGCGAGGCAGCTTGTCTTGTGGCGAGCTGTTGGGCAGTGGCGACCCCACGGACCTGACTCCCGGGAGGTGTTTAAACGTATGTTGCCTCCGTGTCACATGGTAGCGGCCGTTTCCGGGGCCCATTAATTGAGTTTGCCAGTCACCCCCTGCATGTTTATCCGTATGCTTAAATATTGGTCAGAAGCAGGGGCCATAGTATTTCCATAGTTATCATATCCACCAGTCCTGCATCAACCGGGGATTGTCCTCAGGTGCACTTTCATAGTGCATACAGGAATAATTGCCGGCTGATGTCCCATTTCACTTATATTAAAGTTGTTCAAAGTGCCTCTGCGAGTTGGCTTTGGCCCCCCGTACGCCTTCCAAAAGTCCGGGACTCTGTGCTCCCGTGAATGGAGTCGAACATACAAATAATCTATACTAATATTATAAAGAGTTAAAATTTGTAAGTTAGTATGTTTGTAAGTTTCTATGTAGGGGGTAATCTTTGGAACCGCTGGTCGGATTGCCAAAATTCTTTCACTTACTACTCTGTCAAGAAAGTAGCGGGAAAAAGTCAATAATACAATAATAAACGATACACTTACGCCAACGAATAATCCAATCATCGAAACTTTTTTTAAACGCTGTTTCCGGAATTGAGTTCAGTGCTCGCCGCGAATTCTCCTTTATGTCTTCTAACGATTGAAAACGGGTGCCACGAAGGGGTAATTTGAGTGTGGGAAAAAGAAAGAAGTCGGCTGGAGCCATATCTGGTGAATATGGTGGCTGCTCGATGGTGTTTGTTGAGTGTTTGGACAAAAAATCGTTTACAATGATGGCCTTGTGCGAAGGCGCATTAGCGTGATGCAAAATCCAAGAATTTTCTTTCCACATTTCTGGCCTTTTTCGTCGAATTTGTTCTCTTAAACGCCGCATAACGCTCAAATAATATTCTTTATTTACCGTTTGACCTTCGGGCAAGAATTCTGAGTGCACAACACCGCGATAGTCAAAGAAAACAGTCAACATGACTTTGACTTTTGATCGACTTTGACGTGGTTTTTTCGGGTTTTGGTTCAGTTGGAAGGCGCCATTCCGAAGCTTGTTGACTAGTTTGCATGTCAAACTTGTAAACCCACGTCTCGTCACCAGTAAAAATGCGTTTCATGAATGTTGGGTCGGTATTGACTCGTTCTAGCATGTCCTCAGCGACTTTCATGCAATTTAGTTTTTGAAGAAAATTCAGGTCTTTTGGGACTAGCCGAGCGGCAACACGTTTCATACCCAAATTATTTGTTAAAATGGTACGGATCGACTCGTGAGATACAGAAAGTTCGGCGGCCATCTCTCTCAAACTTGAATGAGGATTTTCAGTCACTATTTCCTTCACTTTTGCGATGTTAACTTCAGTTGCAGACGTTGATGGCCTACCAGAACGAGGCAAATCTTCCATCACATCTCGACCGCTTTTGAACGCTTTGTACCACTCATAAGCACGTGTTTTTGATAAAGTCGATTCACCGTAAGCCTTCTGTAACATTTTGAGTGCCTCCGAACACGAAATTTCATTGGCGATGCAAAATTTAAGACAAACTCTTTGTTCGATGTTTTTGTCCATTATGAAATTCGCAATACACACTAGATATTATAAAACTAAAAACAGCACTGTTTTTAATATAAATAACAGATGCAACTCAAATTCCGCGCCAAAATGGAAAACAGTTATGCCAATCTAACAACAACAAAAAAAATTAAAATTCGAATTTGAAACCATAAAAAAAACATTCATTCCCGATACTTTGTTGACTGAATGTATAGAGAGCTGTAATGTTTCTGAGTGCTATAGGATATAAAACATCACGCAGTGATCAAATGGTGCCGAGCAGCGGGTGAATCTGCGCGAGAGTAGCTAGTTTAAGTATATAATATTAATCTTTAGATGCTTTCCCTTAGAAAATAGCATAGTACGCATACAGTATCTTATATTGTGTAGCTGCCATTTTCGTCCACATAGATAATATGTGTAATGATCATTATAGTTGTTTTTTTCTCATAAAGCTTGCACAAGGACAAAGTATTTAAGCCGAAGAAGTTAAATGCTAAGCAATTGGAATCTATACGTGAATGGGGGTATGTTGCCCTATCTATATATTTATGTACACCTATCTGTATTGTTATAAATTATAATAATGTTGTGTGCTATTTATCATTAATTTTTTCTGTCGTTGGCTCCAATGTATGCAAAGCCCTTTATATGTGTACTCATTACTTAAATTTTGTTGCTACTAAGAAAAGGAAAGACTGTATTTGTCCATACCACCATAGTAAATGTAATGTAAATGTTACTATCTTGTCCTTACGGTCCACAGATAATAAAAATACACGCGACCTCGCTCATAATGTTAAAATACTCTGTGGACCATAGACAAAACTTTTTGTTTTTTTCTTTTGTTATTAATTTGTTTTTAAAAACCATTTCATTTTTATCTGTGTCATTTAGTTTAGATTTTTAGTATTATTTTATTTTCTTCTTTTTTTGTTTTATGTGTGTGTGCTTGCGCGAAAATAAATGTTTTTTCTTTCTTTCTTTCTTCTTTCTTTTCTTAGTTAATCTCATTTTTTTCCCTAGTTTACATATTTTGCTCACATGCAGAATAAACCCGTTTTAAGTTTCGTATAGAAACAGCATTGAAGACAATGTTTCTCCTTGACCCAATATCGCATGCTTTTTAGAATTATATTAAGAACACACATCAATCACACATCATAACACCACCAGCCTACATATAACGCTTACTTAACGCGGACTGGCTATTTCAAACTTATAATTAGAAATTATATGATTTACCGGCTCTCTGGGTTGCTGAATTGGGTAGTTTGATATACAATAAATTATTGAAAATTAACTAAGTTTATTTATCGATCGATCGATACACTAAGTTTTAGATATTTTGTAGCTAATTATTAAGAAATAAGTAAGCTATTTGACGCGAAAATACTATGACGTCGTAGCTCAGTTTTTCATATTTTCAAAGATAAATGCCTAAAATAAATTTAAAAAACCCCCGACAAAAATCTAATTTTAAAAGTAATAATTAAAAGAAAACTTGGCGTTGGGGGGCCGATTTAAATATTTTATTATCAACTACATATTTCTATTTTGTCGGGGTTCTAATTTTTTTTTATTTTATACTTTTTATAGGTAAGTATTTTATATCATTTTCCAGTCATTAACATTCCCTTTCAGTGCGCTTTCATTCGATACCCCACTCGAGTATATTTGCAGACCTTCGGTTACCGTTCGCCACTTACCCCCCCATAGCTTCTAAACGGCTCAACCTATTTTCGCCAAACATGTCTAACAACAAAGACACGTAAGTCACCTTTAATACAAAAAAAGCCAAATTGATATTGCTTCACCCGTTTAGGCTCCAGGATGCCACAGACAGACAGTCAGACAGACACGTCAAACTTATAACACCCCTCTTTTTGCGTCGGGGGTTAAAAAGTATCGTTTTTGATACTTGGATAAAAGTAATGAATTTGATTGGTTGGAAACTACATTTACATACATTTTTCATGCCGGGGATTGTCCAAATCTATGTTTAATATTCGCACTGAAGTTCTCAATTATATTGTCACTTCTAGACATAACTGATTCACTTAATTATATTTTTCCAAACTAGCTTCTACGAGCGGCATCGCCCGCAGTACCAGGGTAAAAAGTAGCCCATCTATTGTTTCAAACTATAATCCATTTCTGTCGAATTTTATTAAAATCTGTTCAGGAGTTTTAATGCGGAAACATACAAATTTTCGCGTTTATAATATTAGTACGATTACGTCATTAGACTTATCGCAGTTATTGCAGTTATTCTTGTTATTCTAAAGTACTATTCCTGTAACCAAAGAACTTTGCTGCATAGTTTTACCACCAAGCCTTTATCACTACGATTTATATATCTACCACAGTTTCTGTTTGTTGTGATGAAACCTTTTTTTAACTCAAACCTCTTTGTTTTGTCGTCACATTACACACACGTCTACCTACTATGAATTTCCTATATGTTCTTATACGTACATACATATACATTGTCTGAGACATAATAAAATAAATACATACATATATAACTTATTTAACCTACATTATTAAATTAATTGTTATTTTTCCAATTTTATGTTGCATTAAGACTAAATAAATATGAAAAATCAGTAATCCGACGTCTAAGTATTTCGAAGGACAACTATTGAAAAGAGGTTCTATTGTATTAAAACTAGAGCTTACGTCGTTTTCATTATGTTCTCTAAGCTAGTTGTTAGCCAAAGAGGCGAGTTATTACCACAAACTTGTCCTAATTACCTACAGAATTTGAAGGTGCACTATCTTAATAATGGGCCCAATGAACACATCGCTTCACCTAAGGGAGGATTGTGATTACCCGACGCCCCTTGCACTTCAGCCTTGCAACCAAAGTCCCTTCAACGCTAGGTTACAGCCTTATATTAATTGCTCTACCCATAATTACGTGACAATGAAGCTTCAGTCTATCTCTCGTCCCTTACGCTAAACGCTACCTATTAGATATGTGACATTTTGATTATCTGTGAAACACTTAACTAATCCTTCTTTTATTTGTAGACTATTCAATATTTTGCTTTAAAATATATCTAGTGTAGATAGCAGTGTCTTACGAGTGAAGTTACGGGTGTCACTCCGCAGAGAGTTCGAGGTTCCGTCTCGCCACTTCCCGGGACAGACGCACGTGTGGCGCGTGGCGAGCTGGTTGCAGCGCGGGCGGCTGCGCGCGCGCGAAGATTTCTACCGGGATGTCGCGCGCGCCGTCGCTCTCGTCGTCGTCGTGGCCCGCGATAGACTACTGCGGGACAAACCATTCTCTGTCATCGCGGGCGCCAAGTCATTTCTCCAAGGCTTACACAGGTACCGCACTACATAAATACAGATATTTGATAACCATCTCCCCCCTCCCATCCCCATCCAAAAGGCCGGTCACTGACTGTACCATATGAAATGCGTATATTTTTATTCTGATTGTCTGCCGACTAGTATACAGTACTGTACTTTTTTATGTATTGTTTACAGCCTCCTAGACTTTGCCATTGGCATGCCATCACTGGAAGCGCGAGACCTTGACAAGAAGATAAGGGAAGAAAGGTCGCGGTACTTGGTAGCAGAACTGATATGCAAGGTACTGTCATTTTCCTTAGCACACCTTTGAGCTTTTGTCAGTTTGTCAGTATGTATAAGGGGCAAGCCTATTCAGCCGGGGTTGCAGGGCTAGCGCAATAAGGTACTGCGGCTGCGGCGTAAACTAGGAGAAGGAACGGGGGATTTTTTTTGTGAGGGGAATATCATCTAATGACTTCTCCCGCCCAGGGCCGGACGGGAGGGAGTATTATTAGTAGTAGCCAACCTGCCAGGCGGCCCGGAACTTCACAATAATCAGTTTGATTTCACGTTGGTCTGTACCTTAATACACTCAACCCTTCTGAACGTTTGGTCTTCGGAAAGAAGAAGAAACATTTCAGAAAACTGTGAATGAGGAAATGGCGAATTGATATTAAGGTGTAAATGTGGTCGGTGTACAGCCCGAGCAGCAGCAGGACATAGCGGCGCTGGCGGCGTGGGTGACGCGCGCCATGCGCCGCGCCGCCTGCGAGAAGAGCGACGGCCGCGACCTGCCGCGTCCCGCGCCGCCCGTGCCCTGCCTCTACACCACCCCGCAGCGCACCCAGGTACTGTGTGGGGGGCCACGAGGCCATGGGGTCACTCCGCGACTGGCGTGCTCTACTACTCCCGCTGCAGGTGGACCTGCGGCTGTACCGGCGCGAGCTGCTGCGGCGCGCCGCGGCCACGCTGCAGGCGCTGCTGGACCGCGAGGCCAGGGGCTGGTTCCTGCACTTCCGGGAGCGCCACGCCGCGCACCTCGCCAGCCAGAAGATGCCCATGAAGGACATCGAGGAGGTCCGCCGTGGCTCATTAGCATGTGCTTGATTAGTTGCGGTAGAGCTGTGAGTAACGTGCACGAGTGCAGGAGGTGAGCGACGCGGCGATGCGCGAGTACGTGTCCCGCGTGTGCGGCGCCGTGATGGCGAGCGAGGCGCTGGCCGCGCTGGGGCCCGACGTGCCCGCGCTGCTCGCCGCGCAGCTCAAGGCCTCCGCCATCGTCGCCAGGCAAGTGCCGCGCACCTCGGTACCGGGCGCGCCCAATCCATTTACATTTCATTGTAATTAACTTTCGTGCAGAGCCGAAGCAGACGTTCGACGAAAGTTGGAAGCCGGCTTAGCGACCGCGGAGGCGCGGCTCCGCGCGTCGCACCCCATCCTGTCCCGGGCGGACGCGTGGCGCAAGGAGAAGCTGGCGGCGGCGGCGGCGCGGCTGCAGGACGAGCTGCGCTGGGCGGGCCTGGAGCAGGCGGCGGCCGGCATGGCGGCGGCGCGGCTGGCGCAGCACCGGTACCTGGCGCTGCGCGACCTGGCCTTCCTGCGCGAGCGCCAGCCGCTGCTGGCGGGCGAGCTGCGCGCCGCCGTGGCCGCGACGCGCACGTTCCGCTGGGCGCGGCGCACGTGGCGGCCGGCGCGCTGGCGCGTGGAGCGCCACTTCCGCGGCCGGCGCGAGCGCGTGCCCACGGTGCTGAGCGAGCGCGCCACGTCCATCGTGACGCCGCGCTCCGACCCCTCGCAGCCCGTCTTCCTGCTGGCGCGCGACACCACCTCCTGCACCTCCACGCGCTGGCCCGGCTGGCGCCTGCACAACCTGGCCATGCGCGCCTTCTGCTGGACCTGGAACGTCATGTTCGTGCTGGCCGTGCTCATCCCCTGGAGCTCGCCGATCTCGCTGCGCACGCTGCTCTGCGTCAAGCCGTTCGTGCCCGACTACGAGCTCTCGCAGGTGGGCGCAGCCGGACGTAGTGTGTGCAGTGCGGCAGGAAGGCGGCGAGTATGACATCGCAAGTTGCGTGTGCAGGTGAACGGGACGCTGTTCCCGAAGCGCAGCAGTGAGACGCAGACGATGTGGTCGCGGCTGCTGAACCTGTGGCGCTTCGTGTCCAAGGAGCGGACGCGCTGCGACGCCGAGCCGGACACGGGTGAGTGGCTGGGCGCGGGCGGGGCGCCGGCGGCGGCAGCCCGTAGTAAGGCGCGCGCGTGCAGGGCTGCTGGGCGCGGGCGGGCGGCGGCTGGCGCGGCGCGCCTGGACCTGCGGCGTGCTGGGCGCCGGCGGCTCGCTGCTGCTGCTGCTGGGGCTGCCGCTGCTGGTGCTGGCGGCGGCGCTGGGCTCGGCCGCGCTGGCGCTGCTGGCGCCGCTCTGGGTGCCGCCGCTGGCGCTGGCCGTGCACGTCACCAACGCGCTGCTCTACGACATCGACTGCCCCGACCCCGAGCGCCGCAACAGGTATCTCGCATACAGATGATCCAATCACTTCTTGTTTCCCCGAGATGGATATATTACATTGTACTTGAAGTGTCATCCCACTAACTGTGAACTTCATTCAAATGCGATGAGGACGCCCGTATAATAACCTTACCAAGAAAACAATAAATATACTTCTTGTTTTTATAAGTTACGTTATGCGTAATGTGAATAAGAGAACTCCCCGGTTTGTAAAATTTTTACAAAATAACTCAGACATTCGACTATGTTATTCGACCCCGGTTGAACATCAGCCCCATAGTGCCCTGTCTGTGGTGTGGGTCGGGCTCGGGTCTGGTTCTAGTCGGGCGGCGAGCTGCCCTTACTCGCCGTCAGCAGACGGAGTGTCGCCTACTGCGGCGGGTGGGGCGTGCGGTAGACGATAGTTCTCCTACACGCTCCGCCTCCTTGAGCTCGAGTGCCACCAGGCGCAAGAGGTCAGCGATCCCTTAGTATCGGGCAATGCGAGTGCTCGTTTGGTGGGCAGGTGGGCGGGCGTGCTGGTGGGCGCGCTGTGGCGCTGCGCCGTGTGCGGCGTGTTGCAGGCGGCGGGCGCGGCGCTGCTGGCGCTGCTGGCCGTGCCCGGCGCCGCGCTGGCGCTGCTGGCGGCGGCGGCGGGCGCGGCGCTGCGCGCGGCCTGGGAGGCGGCGTGCTGGCGCGGCGTGCTGGTGCGCGGCGCGCGCGTGCCGCAGCGCGACTCCGCCTTCTGCCGCCGCGTGCGCGGCCCGGGCCTGCAGGCGCCGCCGCACTACCAGGCCACGCCCGCGCAGGCGCTGGCCGCCGTCTGCGCGCGCGCCGAGCTCGACGTGCTGGCGGAGCGCGTGGCCGACCTCGAGCGCGCTATCGAGCGACCGCTGCGGGACTACGAGCAGTTCGTACACGCGTGCTTCGGGCCCTTCTCCGTGCAAATCGCTAAGGTAACCTAACGTCTCGAACCCTTCTGAAATGGAGACGCGATCGGACGGGACTAGCATATTGTTTCCGGCGACAGACGGGGGCGTACAGGCAGCTGGAGAAAGAGTGCGCGGCGCTGACGGCGACGCTGCATGAGGCGGCGGGCGCGCGGCGCCGCGACCTGGCGCTGGGGCTGAGCGACGCGGCGCGCGCCCGCGTGCGCTTGACGGCGCCGGACCTGCGGGTGCGTGGCTGCCGGGACCTGCTGAGGCGCGGGGCGCGGGGGCGGGGCGCCGCTCACGCAGCACTGTGTGTTACAGCGCGCGCTGGCGGCGGCGGCGCACGAGCTGGCGCGCATGTACGGCAGCGGCCGGAGCGACGACTGGTGGGCCGCGCGGGGGCTCGACCGGGACGACTGGCACGCGCTCGCCGCCAACACGCTGGTCGAGGTACGCTCCCACTCTACCACGTGTTACAATGCAATGTGCTCGGCTGATGCGACGGCTCGGTGTGGACAGGTGTTCGACTCGGAGGTGGTGGTGGCGCTGGACGCGGGCGAGGCGTGCGTGGCGCTGGAGCGCGGCGAGGCGGAGCGCGGCTGGGCGGCGCGCTGCGGCGGCGCGGCGCCCGACGTGGTGGGCGGCGGCTGGCGCGAGTGGGGCGGGGCGGGGGGCGGGGCGCCGCGCGTGCCGCCCCCCGCGCTCGACGTGTCCGCCTTCAACCCGCGCGCGGCGCCGCACCCGCCGCTGCCGCCGCCCGCCGCCGTGGCGCTAGTGTTGCACAACAGGTACAGCCGAGCTATACTATCTCACGAGAAAATTACAATCTTTCTAAGTAATAATAATATGATTTATTTGACACCGATAACCTCTCAGGACTATGTCACTAATGCACTTTGCTGACATAACGGCTGACATTTTATTTATTTATGCCCTGCGCATGGCAGGTGCCGGGGCTGGCCGACCAAATGTAAAAAAAGTACAGAATTTGACCGTTACTGTCGAAGTCCGCAAATGAAACGCCTGTGGGGCAATACTTGTTACTTAGTGTAAGACAAGGAATGAACAAGCTGCTTGCTGCATACCATACGCTCGTTGCACCAGACAAGTTACCAGTTGCTCGCCGTACTGTTGACGGTTACAAATTGAGGACTTGGAGATTGGCTCCAGTCACGTCTCAGTACGTTTTACCCTTACTTAACTTATGAATGACCAAGCATTTGCATCAAATTGTCAAGGTTTTGAAGGGATGAGAGAACAGGGTGTAAGCTTCCTCATCCTCCAGGGAGGGTCCTCCGACCAGACGGGTGTGTAAACCGCGATGTAGAAACTTGAATGTTGGTGCGTGTTGTGCGCTAGATGTCGCTACAAGCTTGCTGCTAATATAACCGTAGAGGTATACATACAAACCTACACAAACGAGTTTAATTCCACCAAAGCGTTCGCACGACAATGGGGTTTATTTTTCACCAAATAAAGGGTGCGTGCCATTTGAGGCACTTTACTGCCTCGCCAGTACATAACATACTACATAATTTTATAACTCCAACTATAAACTTATTTATGACTACAATAGATTGTCGCATGCATTATAAAAAACACAAAGAAACTATACTTATCAGTCAAAAAATGTCTATTGAAATTGCCGGCGTTAGGGGGGGGGGGGGTTTCCATCGGCTTGATGGGGCGATGGCACAGGTCGAAAAATTCTGGGGGGCGTCCAGGTCTGAAGTTAGAGTCTCTTACCTCTCCTGGTGCAAACCCTCAGAATTGTGCTCTACGATCTGTGCATACGCATATATATTTTTTTTATTTTACTTTGGATCAGCCATAATCTAACACTTGATATTGCTTCCCTCAAGTGGGCGCCACAATATTTTCGGCAGGGGTGCCAGTGACCCTTACGCCGGCACTGAAGACAGACGTATTAAAATAATAGTTTATATAAAACTTACAGAGAGTCCGACAACCCGGTTCCTCTGGACTCGGAGCTGTGCGCGGAGATCTTAAGAAGTTTAGAAGACGCGCCCGACTGTGACGATAGGAGAGGCAACGATACAGGTGAGCGCTACTTACAAGGCCACGATTATTCCTCACCAGCCGGTTGCGGGGTAAGCGCAATGAGGCCGCGGGCTCGGCCCAGACCAGGAGTAGGAACGAGGGGTTTTAGTCAGTAAGATTCTGACACTCTCTCTTGCCTTACCCTGGGCGGGAGAAGTCATTTCATGATTTTCCCCTGAACAAAAAAATTATTCCTCACTCCAGCTTCTCACGCAACAGGGGGTTCGAAACCTCGCCAGTGTGAATTTTTTCCATAGTGTAGTCTAAATAACTTCTGTTGAAAGAAACATCGTCGTGAGGAAACTTGGACTTAAAATGCGTGGTGATTAATGGTCTAACCTTCTCCTTGTGAGAAAATTTCTTGCTCAGCAGTGGACACTTACAGGCTAATGATGATGAATGGGATTGTTTGGATAGAGTAGTCAGTGAAGCCGATGTACTCCTCATACAGATGGTCTACCACGCTGCGGAGGCAAGCGTCATATAAAATTTAACTGCTTTTACAAAATCTGTTTATCATTATTTGCCCAAGAGTTGGAAAGAGCTTCGAGTCAAAGTATTCAAAGAAAGACTTGATATCTTTTTATTGGTGAAAGCTTATTGTAATTTATCTTTTATATGCCAGCTTGGTAAAATATGGCTGAAGTTAACAATATGTTTTACCAGCTAAATGGTACATGTTTGCAAAAAACAAACACGAGAACACTAAACTAAATTAATTTTATCATTGTTTGTGTTAAAAGACGTGTCTAATATTTTACGCTACCTAAGTGAGTGGCTCAATTTAGTAGATAATGACTTTGTAACCTTTGTTCCACCGACGGTGTCGGTGCGTGCAGAGGACGTGGAGCGCTACCGCGGGGGCGGCAG